GGAAAATGATCGTGCGCAGTGAAACGTGCTATACGGGATCAATTTTCCCATTGAAAATAATGGAAAAGCTGGGGGTTGTGTTTCAAGCGGTGGTGTCTGTTGGGACCGGGACATAAGATTGGGGGAGAAAGGGGACTGGGTTACAGCAGGGAGGGGAGGGGTTTGGCTCTGGGGAAGGGAAGGGGAGGAGAGGGGAGGGGGATTGGGTTGGGAGTATGCCCCAGTGACGGGTCTGCCGGGACCCGCACTGCGTCCGGCGAGGGGAGGTCGCTGGGGAACGGCGCGGCGAGCAGCGAACCCTCCGCCGCTTTGCAGGGAGGTGGGGGAAGCCCCGCGCAGCCGCCGGCAACAGGCCGGCTGGGGAAATCGTGTAAATCAAAAAACGTTCCCTAAAAATAAATCGTGCTATCGTGAAAACATGTTAAGCAGGCACGTATTAAATGAGGAATTACTGTGGCTTATTTCACTGTGGCTGGCCGGATGTTACAGCTCCAGTACCGAGACTGGAAGCTTTTCACTTGCTCTGATTGCCATGTCACGCTACCTTTGCTTGCGGTGTATCCCTGGGAAGGGGGCGGGGCAGCAGGGGTGAGGTGTCTGGTCAAGAAGAAAGACAATGCTGCAGTGCGAGCTGTGTGCGAGCCTGGCTGCATAGTGGTCGTTGTTTTCTGTAACAAACACCTCCTGTTTCAGAAGATTTGGGTTTGCTTTTCGCGCCGTGACTCAGAATCAGCAAGACCTTGACTCAGGAACATCTCATCTGAAGAAGTGGGGTTCGCCCACAAAAGCTCATGATACTATATGTATAGACATTTGTTAGTCCACACAGTGCCACAGGACTACACGATGGTTCACCAAGAGATTCTTCTTACAGGGAACCTCCCTGATTTTTTTCATCTCTCTGCAAGCCGGGGAGTTACAGAGTGATGCAAAAAATAGCAAGAACCCCTACCCCGGCAAACACAGATGAGCACTGCTTAGCGTTAGCGATCCTGATGCTAATAATATAACAATCCTGGGAGGTGGGTAGGGCAGGGTGTGACATAGTGGGGGTACCTTGCTAGTTGCTAGGCTTGGGTTGTGAGTGACCTCCGCTGGCTGCAGCATGGCCCAGCAGGGCAGGGGATGAGTCATTATGCAAGGGGGCTTCGAACCTGTCTGACCAGTTATCTCCCAGGGAGCGGAACAATGGGAAGAAGGGGAGTGGAGCCTTGGCTG